TATGATTAAAAAAAATTCCTTTTAAATTGTGCAAAGAAAATAGAAACCCAAATTTCCCTGAAAAGGCAAGGCTTTATGGCAAGAAAATACTCTTGTGAAACATCACCATCCAAGTCCCAAGCCACTTCTCCATATGCCGTAACGTGGCCCATTAACAGGCTGCTACACTAAAAGTAAAATCCCCCAAACAAACAAAAAAAAGTGCAAATTTGGAAGTCACCGTACCCAACAAAAACCATATCTCTATGGATCTCAAAACTTCCATCCAGGTTTAGACACATACCAAACCTAGTCCCACCTTAAAGGTTATCTACAAAAGAAGTCCTAAAAGCAACATTGCATCACAATTAATACCAAAAGCTGGAGGCGGCACTAACAAATAAAAATTGATTTAACCTACAAAGATTGAGACCCTTGACTCAATTTAAGCCTAATTAAGTAACTGGTAGCCCCCGCTTATAAATTGAAGCCTTGGCTTGTGCTTCATGTCCATCCTCAACCAAACCAATTTGAACACAACTTCTTCTCTCTTCAACCCTCAAAATCACTTCAAATTTAAATGGCAAATTCCCGCATTGCAAGGTTCTTCATGGAGGTAGCACCACCACAATATGTTAATGTGATTAGGCATCGAACATCAAAGATGCTTGATACAATTAGTGAAGATGAGAGGGAAATAAGCCCAACTGATTCTATCATTTCACCCACTAAAACCTTATCATCATCAGCAGCAGCAGCATCTTCTGCTTCAGCCTCTGGCTCTTCTACAATTGCAAATGCTAATAACAAATACTTCTTGAAGGAAGTTCATCGATCCCTCTCAATTTTGAAACACTGAAGCACTTGACACAAGGAAATAAAACAACCTTGGTATCTGTTTCCATGAGTCATGTAAAGCTGCTAGTTCTTTTTGTTCTTTTACTTTCCCCTAGCTCTCCCCTCTTCCCTTCTCGTTTATGTAATTGTATGAACAAGAATAGTTGAGGGTGTAAAGAGACTTATCTGCTGCATATATAGCAGCAAAGATTATAAGGATTTCCTGCACTTGTATTTTTCTGTACAGGTTTATGATTTTCTATCAATAAACTCAAAACAGCCATAAGTTTTGGCATGCAATCAAATATATAACCTCTTTCATATTATGTGCCTCACATGCACCTAATATATAAGTACGTAAGTGTAAAAAACCATTTAACCCAAAAACTTAACCATTATGGGTGAGGTTACATCAATAGTTTTATATATTTCTAAAACGACTCCTCACACGAAAGTTTACTGGACTTGAAGGATGAACAATGCACGAACCTACCTGTGCTAAGAAATTCCATAAAAGAATGTGGAGCGGTAAGGATCTAACTCGTAATACTGAAGCTTTGATGTCATATAAAGAACTATTTAACCCAAAAATTTAAGCTGGTGGGTAAGGTTACGTTAATAATTTTATATATTTCGAACAGTAAAAGTATTGCGGGTAGCAAGTCCTTTACCTTCAACATTATTGATAAATCGATAGTTTATCATGTTACCGAAAAAAAAAAAACCTTTGATAATTTATCATGTTTTAGAAGCAAAAAGTATGGAAATTAACGCCTAAATCTAGTCAAAAGTATGAAAAACTTAGGCTATTATAACTAAAAAGCAATAACTAGAAAAAGCTTCCTGCCAAGTCCATGCTTAAGCATGCAGTTTAGTGTTACGAGCTGTTACAGGATGATATTATTGTTAGGAGGAAGTTGCAACAATATCCAATTATAGTTAGGAAAGTTGTTGGCATGTAAAGAGTTAGCAAGGCTAGTTATAGATGAAGCAGAAGTATAAATAAGAAACTGTAAACTGAGAAATGCAATGAATGAAAATCTCAAGATACCTTGATTCTCCTTATTTCTCTTCCCTATCATAGTTACTATCGTAACATTTACACCCTTAAACATGGGTTAAGCAGAATTGACCAATTATGGAAAAGCCCAAAAATTAAGAATTCCTCTATAAATAGGAGGGTGTCACTTAAGGTTTGGCATCTCTGGACGCAAATTTACGTCGAGAGTGGGAGAAAAGATCCAGAGACAAGATCGGGTTGGAGATACATAAAGACTCATCACATGCTTCTTAAAGATGCTTGGGGAAAGATCTTATCTTTTTGTTGTTTTTGATCTTGTTATGTCTAGCTAAACTTCATTATAGTTAGAGAATGATGAAACTCAATTGGTTTTTCATTATTAATGTCCCCTTGTTTTTATGATTGTGTTAGTTACTCTTGTTCTTAATGCTTTTGTTAGGTTACGACTTTGGGGATTAATCTGCGATTATGTATCATAATAAGGATGTTGATAGATAATTTCGATATAAACAATTAGCAATTTTATAATAAGCATATATCATATGTTGTGTTTGATATGCATTGGATTAGCAATCTTATTCAATTGCAAAATATATATATATATATATATATATATATATATATATATATATAAGGATTTGTATTTGTCATTTAACATGACACAACAAACTTTTCTACACATACAACATTTTGTGGGGCCCACACTTTTTGAAGAAAAAAGAAAAAAAAATTACGACACGCAAAACGAATCTCTATATCGTTACACAATCATTTTTCCTTCAACATAACTCTTATAAAACCCATATGTATGTGGGGTTTGTATTTATCATTTAACATGACCACACAAAGTTTCCTACACACACAACATTTTGTGGGACCCGTATGTTTTGAAGAAAAAAGAAAAAGAAAAAACTATGGCACGCAAAACAAATCTCTATAATATAACACACTCATTTTTCCTACAACATAACACTTATAAAATCCTATATATATACGTGTGTGTGTGTGTGTGTGTGTTTTCTCTTTTTTATTTTGTGAGAGTTAAAAGTGGTAGAAAATTTGAGATTTAATAAGAAGGGGATGGTGGATGGGAAGGGGTTTGGCTTACATAGGGATGCTTTTATTTTCTAGGGATGAGTAGGAAAATAAAAAAAAATAAAAAATTTGTTATAGTATTCTATTGGTTTCTAACTCAAGTCCCCCTTCGGATAACTTATCAAGCTTTGGGCAGATGACTATCCTATCTCCTAAGCTCACAAACTATGGATAAGAACATGATAGGATAAATTATCCTATCATATCTTTCTTCTGAGATGCATCAAACAGGCCTTAAAAGGATACAAAGAATTGAGTTCCCTTAGAGTGGTTAAAGGATCTTGGTTAAATTAGAATAATTGATCAATAACCAATAATTTAAATAAAGAATTGAAAACAAGGGTAAATAATAAAGATTCAATTGGAAAAAATAAAACCCTAGCTGTGCTTTTTGCACTTGAATTCAATTTGCTTAAGAATTAAATTAATTTTTACTATTAAATTAATAAAATACCTGAAAAGAATTAGTTTTAGAATTTAAGTTTAAGAACCATACCTTAAATTTTGAATCATCCACTTAGATTTAGAAAGTGAATTAATGCTTAAGATGTTAATTCTTGTGGAATTGATATTTTTACTCTTTAGTACACTTTATTAATTATACGAACGGTTGCTGTGTTCATCAACAATTATAACTACACTCTGCACTAAATGGTTTTTATTTAATGATTAACAATTTGCATTACATCTAATGTAACCAAAGAGCTGAACTGCATAGCAGTACAGGTAGCTCTTCTAGCTGAACTGCATCATGAAAATTAATGACTGCAGACGCGCCGTGCTAGCTCAGGTAAAAAATACTAACCCTTGCGCACTGTGGCATCTACCGCTTTAGAAATTTATTTTTGAAAAAAACTATTCTTCCTACGTGAGATTATCATTCAATAATTATGTAGTTTCTTATTTTTATTTTTATTTTATTTTTTCAGGTGATGAAGCCCGCATATTTATCTCAATAATATAAGATAACTTATCTACTTTATTAATAGCAACCCTCTATTCTTATGCTAGAAATTGATAAAGCATAAATTCAAGCAGACGCCGACTTAGACACAACATAAATAGTAATAGTAATTTTGATTCTATACAAATCCAAAGAACAAACCCCTAGATATCAGTGGTTTGATGTTTAACGGCCACACAAAGAACCCGTATAAAGCCATGGGCGGCCTTTTTATCGCACAAAATGGAGATACTGACCAAAATGTCACTGTTCACCAATTTCTTTACCTAAATGTCACGCGAACAGTGTTATTTTCCAATCTGCCATGAGGGCAAGTTCGCTTCTGACACAAGCAATCTCGGTTTGGTGACGTGTCACATTTTTAGTGGATAACAAGTATTAAATTTAAAAAAAAAATTCAAAAAAAAATGAAATTCGCCTACCATGTAGGCGAACTTGGTTAAAATATTGTTGGAACCGAGGTCGCCTGTGTCAGAAGCGAATCTGACACCACCAAGAAGCTGACACATCAGCAAACTGAGGTCGCTTGTGTCAGAAGCGAACTTGCCCCGTGACAGATTGAAAAATAACACTATTCGCGTGACATTTAAGTAAAAAAGTTGGTGAACAGTAGCACAATGGTCACTGTTCCCGCAAAATGGGAATCAATATGCAGGTAGTGCTCAGTCGAGCAGGGTAAGATGTGGTTAGAAATCAAATAAGCGGTGCTTAAATTTTTACAGTAACAAAGGAGAATCAGTTAATTGAAAACCAATACTTCTTAGTAAATGTTGTATCCCCAAGTATGCTTATTCAGTTTAAGTAGTTCAAAACGAAAATATGCCTTGCTTCAGAAAAAACCAAAATATAATATTAGAAAAATATAAAATTATTAATATAATATTCACGTAATAACTCAAATTATTGAACTGAATTGGTTACTTTACATAATGACAGAACCTCTCCGTCCTTATTCTAATAATAAAATTAGCATAGATTTCAACTCATAAACAAGAATAATTGAGTAAATATATCTTAAACAAATAAACCTACCCAGTTTCGTGTTTATAGTATGGAACGTTGAGAATATAGAAATATTGCAAGGCTTTCAGCAATACATGATACTCTCACATGAATTTACATATTTCCCAATACTACATTTAACTGTGTCTAAACTAAAAAATAAAAAATAAAAAAATCTTATATATCTGGATTAACGTTTGTCATCGTCATTGATATAGAACTTCTGCTGTATCCCATACATATGCCCCGTCAATGAAAAAAACAGATAGTACAAGAAGACCTCAAGAAACACGAGAAAACAAACACCACCAAGGGTTCTGTCCCCAGAATTACAAGATTCATGTCCTGAAAAGCGTGCTTCAGTCTGTTATTTCTATTGTAAAACTTCCATTGTCAGTTGAATATTTCCAGGGATTAAGTTGATGTTCCGCAGCTAACAAGCTATTCCCTTGTGTGTCTGTTAATAAGCAGATATGCCCATGAATTGTTATTTTTTTCCATTCTCTTTGCTTGATTGAGAAGACTCTAATCCTTGGGTTTCTTTCGTGTCTCCAAAATTATCTCCTTAAATTTTTCCAGTGCTGCCAATAAGAATAATGAAACATGACACAGACTTAATGAAATATCTAATGTAACTCCAAAACAGCATAAAGGAAAAGAACATCAAGAAGTGTTGAGTTCGTCCAAAGTCCATGCACAATAAAATGTATCTTATTTTTGGAAAATTTCTAAAGCAGACAAATGGAATACTTCAATTCGAAGTCTTTCCAATCCAAGGTATCAAATATGAATTCAAAAGATCTCCATGCTGATTAATAGTTGGGAAATCAGTTAGTTAGTTTAAATAACATCAGCTTTGTTTTAATCAGAAGATAAAGCATCAAATGTGAGGCAATTGATCCACAGAAGACAGGAATAACACTGATCGAAGTCTAGATAATTTTTTTTCCCAATATTTGATCATGAAGATTAAGCAAAGCCACTAGAAGCTGCAGGTAATATAAGTGGCCAATTAAACTGATGTTTAGTCTATCCAGGGACGATGATGGTTGAGAAGGGCGTTTGTGCATATAGACTTAAAATGGAATTAACATATTTACCTGATTGGTAGGTAGTATGAAGTGCTTCAATCAAACTAGATGGAAGAGTATGCTCAAGGAAAGAACTAGCCTCAGCCTTTCGCATCAATTTTTTAAATCGTCGAACCTGGAATGGAACAAGAGTTGATAACAGTTCAAGAATGACTCAGGTTACAAATGTTAAAGAGACAACATAAGAAAACAAGTATATTCATACTCTAGTATTGATAGTTATATAACAGTAGTAAAAGGGGAGAGACCACGAACAGATCCTACTGGTGATTGACAAAACTCATTTGCAGGATTGCAACTACTCAAGCCAAAACAGAAAGTTTAAATTAGTTTTTTTTAATAAAAAAAGAAATTCATTAAGACAAAGAGAAGATGATTGCAAAGAGACAGTAAGAGATCCTCCATAAATTTATTTTAAAAACAAACAAACAACGTAGAAGAAAGAAAATATCAATGAAGTAAAGCTACACAATTCCTCAACATATCTGTAAGGACACCCGTTTAAAAAACTCATGTTCTTGACACCAAGCAGAAGCCACTCCTAACCTTAATTATACTAAACAACTGAGTTTAATTAACAAGTAAAATTTTAATGGAAAAATGAAATAAATTATTAAATTTAAGCCTGTAAGTGGGGTCTTTGCGAGCTCAACTTATAGTTTCTTCCATTGGTTCATAAGACATAAACATGGATCTAGCACAAAACAATGACCATGAGTGAGACAAGAGGACTTCATACCTCATCTGTTGACATCAGTGTGAAGCAACGCCCAGTCTGGCCAGCTCTTGCAGTCCTACCAGCCCGATGAACATAAGTCTTTATGTATTTGGGCATGTCATAATTAATGACATTTCTTACCCCTTCAACATCCATTCCACGAGTCATTGCATCAGAAGATACAAGCACTTGAAACTCCCCTTTCCGGAATTCGTTCAATGTCTTACTGCAGAAGAGTAGCATTTTTTGTCAAGGAACCAACTCTAGCAGGTTTGGTTTTAAATCTTTTGATTAAATTTGGAAGAATAATCTTCTTTCAAAAAATTTCTCAATAAGCTTTTAAGTATAGGCTGTTCTGAACACAAAATAAGCTAACCCATACACACTACTCATCCCAAGACCTAAAACTGTTACTTATTAGGTGAAAGCAGGGTGGAAATGGGTCAGGCCTTACCTTAAACAGGTCGGGTCTATTTCCCAAATACAAAGCCTGAGTTTTGGTATATTTACCTGAGCCTTTTAAGGCTTGGCGTGGTCTTTTTCAAAGCCTCACCTGGCTTGAAAGCCTATATTTAAAGGGTTATTTTGTAACAAGTCTTCTTAGATAGGCCAGGGGACCTACCTCTAAATAGGCCAAAAAGAAGGAAGAAAAGAGAGAATAAAGGTTGAATAGTCTGAAATTGATATGACTTGATATGAAAGATGTGTAATGATGTGATACAAACTACAAAGTACTAACCTCTATTTATACTAATTTCAGACTCCAAATCCAAATTAAATAATGAAACAAATCATGAAATATAAAGAAATATGAAAATCAATCGAAAAAGTTAATCTAAGATACTCTAAATTCCTCTAAGATAAAATCAAAAAGATATTATGAGATATTTTCATATATTCCAACATTTACAATAATAATTCCATCATTTCCTTTGTTTCCGCTTTGCTAAACTTTATATTATTGTACTAGTATGTTTTGCCCTGGTACACTTGTTAAGCTTGCTATTTACAAATCAACAAGTGCTGGATTGTCCTATTCCTTAAATCTAACTTTGGTATATGTTTTTACTAAAATCCAAGAAAAAAAATCGTCTGATCTCTGACTCTAATCATTAAACTCTAGCAATATCCGGCTAGAAGCCAAGAACTGATATAAGTATGCTTAAGTTATCATACAACTAAATTACATCATTATAAAGCTTATAATCCGAGGTGTCCCCAAAAGTCTGAAAAAACTATGTTCAAGGAACTACAGACTACAGAGTATATCCAAAACACCACGTATCTTAACTGTCTAAATTAATTGTTTCTTTTGGAACAAGTTTTGTATAATGTACAGCATCACACAAGAGCATTCAACATACATGGTTTAAAATATTGTTTGTTTGTTTAGTGTGAAAGAATAAAAAGTTACCTTCTTACACGTTGATGTTGAAGACCAGAATACTCCTTGATATCAATTTGCAGATCTCCAAAACAATTCAGCAATTTGCAGAGACGATGTGTTGAATCCACAGACTTTGTAAAAACTATGCATTTTTCTCCTCCCAGGGATTTCAAAAGGGCAACCAAATACAAGGGTTTAACCTTTGTTTCACAGATCTACACAAGCGCGTACACAGACAAAAAAGAATTAATGAAAAAGTAAAGTCAATTAAGCAAAACTAGCCAGTTATATATATACAGCATGCTAAATTAATGGTGATTTCAGTGTGTTCAAACATCAAACAATAGGACTATTTCATCCACCAACTGCTCTTATGACCTTATCAGTCTGTACTGCAGCTACTCCATGGGTACCCTTGGATGACAGAGCCAGATGTTACGTTCATAAAGATAATAGCATAAAGAACAAAAAAATGAAAAATGATGGCATACTGCAAGAGGGAGGTGAGAGAAACACTGTAAAGTGTTAAAGGGTCATCACCATCCAATTAACATATAGAAGTTGCATGATACGTAAAACCATAAAATAAGTCTAATTGACCAACTCATTCAAAATTTAGACAGACAGACGATATAATAGCTTTCACTGCTCTCTTCATACTCTTCAGGTATTCATAATCACCATCCTCTCAACTCAGACGAAGATCATCTGTCAAGCAGGCCACAAACAACAGTTCTCTCAAGTTTGTCCTCTGCAAGGCCACTCAACTACGAAAGCTCTTTGCTGTTCTTCTGTTATCAACATAGATGTCTAGATCCACTGTTAAACCCAATTATTTTCATCCATAGTGAGTGATATAGTGAGTGAGGAAATCAACGTCAACATCAACAACACCTTTATCCCAAATTAATTGGGGTTGGTGGTAAATGAATCCCAATGAAGAATACAAAAAGGTTAAAGAAAAGAAACATAAATGTAAAAATAATAATAAATAAATAGAATAGTAATAATATATATATATATATATATATATATATATATATATATAAATATAAAAGTAAAAAAAGAAAGGGAAGAGAAGAAGAGGGGGAAATGAAGGGGAAAAGGACTAAAAAGGGACCATCTGGAACATAGGAATAACAACGGGTCTAACCCTCCACTTTATAGTTTTTCTCCATTCCGTTCTAAGGCATACCGTCCGCCAATCTATATCTCACTCCATTAAATCTTATTTTACTACCTTCTCCCAAGTAAGTTTCAGTCTACCTCTACCTCTTATTGTGTTGAGCTCTTGGTAACAAACTTCTGTTCTTATGGGAGCATCCAGGGGCCTTCTCATTACGTGCCCAAACCACCTCAATCTATGTTCTCTCATCTTCTCAGCCACCGGTAGTACTCCTACCTTTCGTCGAATATCTTCATTTCTTATCTTATCCATCCTCGTATAACCACACATCCACCTTAACATTCTCATCTCTGCTACTCCCATTTTATGCTCATGTTGCCTATGTGCTGGCCAGCATTCAGCTCCATATAGCATTGCAGGTCTTACTGCTGTTTTATAGAATTTTCCTTTTAACTTAAGGGGAATTTTGCGGTCACACAAAAACCCAGATGCACTGCGCCATTTCATCCACCCTGCTCTGATTCTATGATTTACATCCTCATCAATCTCTCCACTTTTTTGCAAAATGGAGCTCAGGTATTTAAAAGCGTCTTTCTTGGGTACCTCTTGACCACTTAGATGCACGGGATCTTGGTCTACATCTCTTACCAGAGAAAACTCACACTTCAGATACTCAGTCTTGCTTCGACTTAATGTGAATCCTTTAGATTCCAATGTACTTCTCCACAATTCAAGTTCTCTATTAACATCATCCTTGCTCTCATCAATAAGCACAATATCGTCTGCAAAAAGCATACACCATGGCACTTCCTCTTGAATGTCTTTTGTTAGTTCATCCATAACTAAGGCAAAGAGATAAGGACTTAGAGCCGACCCTTGGTGTACACCTACCGTGATAGGGAAATAACTTGATGTTCTGTTACAAGCTTTCACACATGTAGTAACCCCATTATACATATTCTTGATTGCCTTTACATACTTTGATGGTACTTTTTTCTTCTCCAGAACCCACCATAAAACTTTCCTTGGAACCCTATCGTATGCTTTCTCAAGGAGGATGAGGGTAGGGGTGAGGGCAGTCTTTGTACGTAGCCTTACTTTTACATATTTGCAAAAAGGTTGTTTCTCAAATTTAAACACATGACCTCTCAATGAGAAAATAAGTTAAAAATAAAAAATGAAAAATAAAATTGAGTACAAATGATTAGTGGTAGCTTCGTTTATCCTGGTTATTGGGAAAGACAAAACTGTGAAGATAAGGGATTAAACATTTTCTTTTCCATTACACAATTTTTTTCAAGTTTGATAATAGTTTAATTAGGCATAAACTGTAAATTACTGTATAATATTTATTCAATCTGACTCTATCCTGTTCAAGAAACAGGATTTAATCAGGTCAATCCTATCCAATGAGCTTAGTTTTTCTAGTCAAAGCTGGTCATGTCATATCCAACAACTATCATCTAACACCACCAAAAGAAACGTGCATGCACATATCATGAAATGGAAGCACAGATTTTTAGGGTCTGTTTGTTTTCTGCGGAAAACAACTTGTTAAAATTATTTTGAAATAAAGTAGTTTCTTAAAAATAGATTTCAACAAAGGATGTTTTCCTAGAAAATATTCTGTTGGAAACAATTATATAGAAAATAATACATCCTCATAGAAGTTTCTAATGTTTCAAATGTTCTGGAACATGGCTTCTTTGTTTCCACTCCTTAAAAGGATTGTACAATTGATCAGGGGATATGAATGCAATTTTCCCAAAGACTTAATTAAAGTAGGGATTTATGATTAACCGTTAGTGTTTAGTTAACAACTAAAAATTCGTAAGACTTGAACATTATTTCCAGCTTAGGTTATTTTGTCCATAATCAGTAATATATTTACAATGATTTACTAAATCACAACGCTCTCTCAGACCAGACTTTAATAAAACCTATTTCCAATCACCAAATGGAATTCTAAGAACCAGCTTTCCAACAAACCCTATTGCTAAAGCCTTAGATACAGAATTCATGGCCTAACAAGTGGCAACTGCAACAAAAAATCAAATCTCTCCTACATCAAAAGTCCAACTCATAAAGTATGTTTCACCAAGCAATCATTAAGAATCCACCACAATATTTCACAACCTTAGGTCATATCCCGTTTCAAGTTTAAACATTAGAGTTCACTCTGATTTACAAAACACGATATATTCTAAATCTTGCTTTGAGAAAACTAAAGACTCCAGCTTGGTTAAAAATTGATAAAAAAGTATTTATATAAAGACAAAAATACTATAAAATAAAGCATCAAATCCTAAGATCTTGTGGGCAGCTACCTTTCGCTAAATTAGAGCCTTTGCAGTCCCATAAATACTGCCATGAGTCTACTACGTGTGTTCTTGCCATTAGGTGAAAGCATATGAATGATTTTATATTTTATATTATATTTCTAACAGTTATTGAGCTAGAGAGTGAGGAGCAAAAAGGATGCTTACCCCCGTTGGGTGGTGAGGGAAAAAGGGTCCAAATATAAAACAGAAAAAATGCATATCATTGTATGATGCTAGTCTACAATCAAAAAATTATAATTGAAGTGCATGACACTGAAAGCAGCTTAGCTACAATAATTTCTACAAATTAAAAGAGACAAACACCATGCAATGTCATACCAGTTTGTAAGATTCCAAATTTTCAGGTAGCCGATAACGCATTTGCCCAGCTCTCAGAAATAAAGGATGACGCAAATTAAGCCGAACAAGCCTGCCTGGGTCTTGAGTTAATGTCGCAGATAGAACCATCTTTGCCAGCCTAGGGTAAGGCTTATCCTTGAAGCCCCTCTCAACTCCACTACAGAAATAAATAAATATCATAACCATAAAGTTTGCATGTGTAGACACCATATAGTTAATGTTACCAGAATCAAATAATTTTGTAGGGTATAAAAAGGTAAACCCAAGTGCACAAGGCTTTTCAACTTGCAAGAGTAAGGGTGAGGATCGATTGTACACAGCCTTATTCTTGCAAAATTTGCAAAGAGACTATTTCCTAGACTCGAATCAGTGACCTTCCAATCACAAGGAACAACCTTACCGTTGCTCCAAGACTAGCCCTCTTGCTAGGGTGGAAATGATATTTTAAATTCCATCATTTGAACAAATCAACCAACAATTTGAAGCTGTTATGTATCATTAATAAGCAATCAATGGAGTGTAGCTGCATATTGCAGAATAATAAAGCTCCATGTTTTTTTCCAAAAGCAGAATTTAGTGGCACTGACTTCTAAGAAAATAATAAGGGTCTTCATTTATTCTTTTCTTTTAGTCACTCACATGTTTGAGTTCAGCCTGCATAGCACACAGAATAGCTATGAAGCTATTTGTTGTAAATATTATTATTATTTATTTATTTGTTATTTGTTGTATTGGGCTTAGCCCATTAGGTCAAGTATTCTAGGTCTTGTATTCTCTATAAATAGAGAACCCTTTGTACAGATTATACACAATTCAATAATATATCAGAATACCCTTTTTCAAGTTGGTATCAGAGCTCTCGATCCTGAGGGCTCTGCTTCCGCGCTTATTTGCCTTTAGAGCAAAACCCTAATTCCTTTGCCTCTTGCCGCCATCAGCCGCCACGGAAAAAAATTTCCGAGGACTTTTTTGGACCAAGAGGACCACTGTTCATCTTTTCTTTTCCGATCTACACTATTTCTCAGTAGCAAGAACCTCCAATCAGATCTGTTTATCGCGTCTGGACCCGTTTCCGGTGACTTTTCAACCACGACCACCCACAGACAGGCGCGCACTCACCGGACGACCACGCCGGAAAAATTTCAGCCGAAGAAGCCTCCACACGCGCTCTCACGCGTCGATCCTTTCCCCGCGAGTGAAGCCCACGCGCAGCCTCTTTCTCCGGAGCATGGAGGCGCGTGCGACCTTGTTTCTGGATCGAACCACCACCATTCTTCTCGTCTCTGTGTTCTCTATCTGGATCTGTGATTTATTCACTGATCGGAGTTCATTTTCTTTTCTGTTTGGTTGATTCTGTTCACTATGGCCATTTTAGAAGATGGTTCGATTATTATGCAGTCTCCACATGTCTCTCCATATGTGAATATTCAGCAAAGGAAGTTGGATCAGCTTAAACCCGCTATTGATAATATATGTAAGCCATCTGACAGTTCTTTGATCTTATCTAGTATGAGCACACGTTCTACATCTCTTCTTGCTTCTTGCACTGATTTTAAAACCTCATGGATTTTGAATTCTGGTGCAACTGATCATATGGCTTGTCGTTCTGAGTTGTTTTGTTCTTATCATCCTACTATTGGTAGTCATACTATATCCGTAGCTGATGGATCCCATAAATCAGTTATTGGGTCTGGTAACATTCAAATTCAACCTTCCTTGTTTCTTAAAAATGTTCTTTATGTTCCTCAGCTTTCTACTAATCTTATCTCCATTCAAAAACTTACAACTGATTTGAATTGTTCTATCACATTTTTTCCTTCTCATTGTGTTATTCAAGATCTTACCACGAAGAAGACAATTGGAGTTGCTACTGAAAAGGATGGGTTGTATCATCTCCTTCCAGACCATGCTAGCAAAAATCAGTTATTAATGACACATCATCCTTCTACTGCAGAGTCTATGATTTGGCTCCATCACAAGCGTCTGGGGCATCTACCATTTAGTCTTTTGAAGTCTATGTTCCCTTCTCTGTTTCTCAATAAGTCGGTTGAGACCTTTCATTGTGATGTTTGTGAATTTGCAAAACACCATCGAGTGTCATTTCCTTCTAGCACTATTAAAAGCAAGGAACCTTTTTCTCTTATCCATTCTGATGTTTGGGACCCTTCTAAAGTGCATAGTGTTTCAGGTGCAGGGTGGTTTGTTTCTTTTATTGACGATTGTACTCGGGTAACATGGATATACTTGATGAAGGACAAGTCTGAAGTACCAGAGATATTTATTCGGTTTCATCACATGGTTGAGACTCAGTTTGGTAAGGGTATTAAAATACTAAGATCTGATAATGGTACTGAGTACGTCAACCAACGCCTGTCACAATTCATTTCAGACAGAGGTATGATTCATGAGCTCACATGTGTTGATACCCCTCAACAAAACGGGGTTGCTGAAAGGAAAAATCGTCACCTCCTTGAAGTTGCTAGAGCACTACTTTTCCAGACATCTGTTCCTAGTTCTTATTGGGGAGAAGCCGTGTTAGCTGCAACTTTTTTGATCAACCGTTTACCTTCACGAGTCCTTAACAATATCAGTCCTATTCATTCCATGACTTCCTTTTGTTCCCATATTGCAGAGCCTTTCACCAAAAGTGTTTGGATGTGTTGCCTTTGTCCATGTTCATAAACAACATCGGAGTAAGTTGGATCCTAAGGCTCTTAAGTGTGTCTTCCTTGGTTATACCCCTTATAAAAAAGGGTACAAGTGTTATCATCCACCAAGTCGAAAAAAATTTGTTTCTATAGATGTCACCTTTCAAGAATCTGAATCTTATTTCCTGGGTCTTCATCGTCAGGAGGAGAACAGTTCTTCAGAAGACTCGTCCCCTTCTTTCTTTGAGTCTGGATCAGTCTTCTCTCTTCCTAGTGTGTCTGCTCCTGGTGTGTCAGAACCTTCAAATACACCTGAGATACGGAAAATTTTGACACTTGAATTGGTATATCAGAGGAGGAAACAACTCATACTGTCTCACCAGCAACTTCAATCGTCTGAACCACTGGTAAGTCCTGAATCTCCTGTTTCTTCTGAATCTCCTGTTTCTGATTCTAATATTATTGCCTCTCATGATTTGTCTATTTCTTCTAATATCTCTAATGACTTACCCATTGCTTCTGCTTCTGATGACTTACCTATTGCCCTAAGAAAGGAAAAAAGATCTTGTTCCAAGAAATCTTGTTCCTCCTGTCCCTCTTGTACTCAATACCCTATCTCCCATTTTGTTTTCTCTACTAATCTTTCTGTGCAGAACAAAAGCTTTGTTTCAGCACTAGATTCTACTTCAATCCCAAAATCAGTACATGAAGCTTTGAAAGATGGGAATTGGGCTCAAGCCATGCAAGAGGAGATGAATGAGTTGGAGAAAAATAAAACATGGGAGGTTATTGATAGACCCAACGGAAAGAAAGCAGTAGGATGCAGATGGGTTTATGCCCTGAAATATAATTCTGATAGCACTCTTGAGAGATACAAGGCTCGATTAGTCGCCAAAGGTTATACTCAAACAGATGGCATTGATTATGAAGAAACTTTTGCTCCAGTTGCAAAGATGAATATGGTGAGAATCTTGTTATCCCTTGTTGCCCATTACAATTGGGATATAAATCAATTTGATGTGAAAAATACTTTCCTCAATGGTGAGTTAGAAGAAGAAGTCTACATGGAAATCCTGCCTGGTTTTGATTCTGTGAAGGGGGAAAATAAAGTTTGTAGATTAAAAAAGGCCTTGTATGGATTGAAGCAGTCACCTCGTGCTTGGTTTGGAAGGTTTACTAAGGTTATGATGAACTTAGGATACAGACAGAGTCAAGAAGATCACACTCTTTTCTTCAAGCACTCCCAAAATGGGAAGCTTACTGTGCTCCTTGTATATGTTGATGATATTATTATCACAGGTGATGATTTTGTGGAGAGACAGATTCTGCAAACACGGCTTGCCTCTGAGTTTGAAGTCAAAAACCTTGGGAAACTGAAATATTTCCTAGGGATAGAAGTAGCTCATTCAAGCAAAGGAATTTTTATCAACCAGAGGAAATATGTTCTTGATCTTCTCAAAGAAGCAGGAAAGCTCGGGTGTAAACCCTCTAATACTCCTATTGAGCAGAATCACAAGATGAGCTATGAAGAAGAGAGTCCTCCAGTTGATAAAGGACAATATTAACGGTTAGTTGGGAAATTGATATATCTGGCTCATACTAGACCAGACCTAGCTTATGCTGTTAGTGTTGTCAGTCAGTTTATGCACGATCCAAAGGAAAAACACATGCAGGCAATAGAGAGAATCCTTCAGTATCTTAAAGGTACTCCTAGTAAAGGATTGTTATTCCGACGTGATGGCAATCTATCTTTAGAAGTCTACACAGATGCTGATTATGCTGGATCTGTGACTGACCGTCGTTCTACCACTGGTTATTGCATATTTCTTTGCAGTAACTTGGTGACATGGAGAAGTAAGAAACAAGATGTGGTTGCCAGATCAAGTGCAGAAGCTGAATTTCGAGCTATGGCTCAAGGCATTTGTGAGTTACTGTGGCTGAAAATTGTACTTGATGATCTCAAAATAAAATGTGAGGGACCTATGAAGCTGCTATGTGATAATAAGTCCACTATTTGTATAGCTCATAATCCAGTTCAACATGATCGGACTAAACATATTGAGGTCGACTGCCATTTCATCAAAAAGAAACTTGATAGCAGGTTGATTATCACTCCATACATTCCCACTGGGCGTCAATTAGCTGATCTATTGACAAAGGGGCTTCCTTCAGACATATTTCAAGAACTTACTAGCAAGTTGGGAATGATAAATATCTATTCCTCAGCTTGAGGGGGAGTGTTGTAAATATTATTATTATTTATTTATTTGTTATTTGTTGTATTAGGCTTAGCCCATTAGGTCAAGTATTCTAAGTCTTGTATACTCTATAAATAGAGAACCCTTTGTACAGATTATACACAATTCAATAATATATCAGAATACCCTTTTTCAAGTCTATTATATGTAACAAAAAAAATCAGAAGAAAATACAGGATAAGTGATAATTATGAATACATAAAATAATTGAAATTTAATATGAACATATTTGTCATGTGACAAATATATAAAGACACAGCAACACAGGGTTATACGAGTGAGACACAAAACTGGATGGGCTTTAAGAAGTGGGTACTCCTCTACATCAAAAAGACAAGGCAATCCCTATTTATTAAATATACTTTTAATATTTCTTCTAGTTAACATAGTCATTAACACATGTTGTCAGAATTCAGGTAATCAATAAGCAGCATTGTCCATTTGATCCACACATCATACGATTCTGGAACCATGCGTACCATCAGGCCAAGCATACTTTTATTTTTTTTCAAGATATGAACATTTCAAAAGAGAGGTGAAAGAACATTGAACCCACCATCTTCTTCTGGTTCTTAATGCACCAAGAGAATAAGGGAAAACAGAATCAGCCGGTTGATAAATATTATCATCCTCAGATTGGGTCAATTCAAGCACGGTAGGTAGCCAAGATTGATAGGCCTCCCGAAGTAGTCGATCTGTTTCATCAACCACCTGACATTAATTAATTAACTTGTTAACATAGATAGATGAGGGCGAGCCTGGAGCAAGGATAAAGTTATTCCTCTGTAACTCAAAGGTCACAGGTTCGAATCGGAGAAAACTTCTTTGCAATTATGCAAGAGTAAGACTGTGCACAACGATTATCCTCACTCCATCCTCGCTAATGGGGGTGTAATGGAGAGCGATTAGGTTAATATAGATAGATAGTACTAATAAAAGCAAGTGAACAACATATATCTTTGAAGCTAGCTATAGTATATAACTCTAGTGCTTACAAGATAATAAAGGTGCTCAAGTGTGAAGCCTTTAGTAGTATTAATATGATCCATGAGCCTTCCAGGGGTTGCTACTAATATGTCAACCTTACTTTGGAAACCACGTTTATCACGTGGATCACAGCACATGCCTGCCTCATATTGAGGAATGTATACAAGGTTAGAAATCTCATCAGCTATGGAAGATTGACCAACAGCCAAGCCAACACGCAAGCCCAGTGGGGATGCAATGCCATCAAAAACTTGTTTAACCTGCAAGGCGAGATCGCGAGTGGGGACCACCACCAGAGCACGGAGGCACCTAACAACGCGGCTCGATAGCATTTGCACTATTGGGAGTGCATATGCCAAGGTTTTGCCGCTTCCGGTGGGGGAATTTACACAAATGTCTCGTTCGAAATTACCAGGCCCAATTGTTTCTTGCCAAACCGCAACTTGCACTGGGAATAGCTTAGAGATCCCTATATTCTCCAATCCCAATTTCAACCTAGTAAGTAAGTGGAAATTATTGAGTGACGAAATTAAAGAAAGAATAACGTAATAGACATGGATTTGAATAAAATTGAATGGAATTGAATGGGATATACGTAGGGTGCAGGCAAGGAACGCAATCAAGAGGGAGTTCTTGACAGAGAGTGACTTCAATGGGGTCTCGCATCCATGGCAAAACCGGCACGCTGCGTTGCTTTTCTTCCCCCATTTTTCCCTAAAACCCCTTTTTGGCGCCACCACCAAGCAGGGTTTAAGAGCCACACAAACCACGCAACGCAACGCACAACCACGTTGATACAAGTAAATCTCACTTTTGGTTTTGGGCCTTTGCAATATTGGATCATGTGTTTGTGGATTTTATTTTGATTACCCACTAAACGTGTCTTCTTAACCCTTCTCGTGCAAAATTCAAAATATACTGTCAATTTAATATAAATTATTTACTACTCTAGTGCGAGTAAAATATGTATGGGGAGTGTCTGCGTCGCTCCATATTCGACTTGAAAAGTATGCTTGGCACGTGTCGTATGTGATTTGAACGCGCACTATGAAGTTGCTTGTTTTGTATTGTGCTTATTTTTTCACAAATTATGTATAAAGGTGATGCGCGACATAAACATGTATATTTTCCATGCACATTTCACTTATGTTGGATTGATAAATAATTTATCAAAAAAATTAAATTGTTAAAATATTTATATTTTTACATTAGATGAGTCAAAAATCTCAAAACATAAGTAAAAAGAGAAGGCGTCACGAGATTATAACTTAAATCAATGAATATTTTGAAACGTTTTCCTTCAATGAATAGACACAGGTTGATTACTTTTTAAATCAAAGGGGTAAGATCAATTTCATGTGAAAAGTTATATAAAATATTTATTTGAAATTTATTTTTCAATTTTAAAGAATATTGAATTAATTGTGAATCAAGGACTTCGGAGTTCGGACACGAAACTTTTCTTTTTGGCTATAATATATTTATAATCGTTGAAGATTCGAGGGCTTGCAAATCTTATCCAAAGCAAGGAATTTTCTATGATTTTGATATTGGTAGCTAAATGGTGATAGAATCCTTAAAATATTGTCACATTAAGAGGGAGTTGTCAGCTTATATTTTAATGTTCCAAACGAAATTAATTTCGGTGATCCAATCACTAGCTAACTTTTTTTTTTTATATAACACTTACTAGTTAATTTTTATCCGCGTTGACATCGCATCTCCCTACACTCGCTTTTTCAATTTACTTTTTTTGAAACACTGCTTTTCAAACGTTAAATTGAAGTTGAAACTTGAAAGTAGAACAAGGGTAAATGATGAATAGTGACATGCAATGCCATTATACCTGAGGTTGTGATTCTTAAATTATTTCGTGAAAACTTTTCATAGCTAATAGCGATGCTCTTAAAATAGTGTTTTTAGTACAGTTGAATGACAAAAAGCAAAATACATACTAAAAGCATTCCTTTCTTATCATAGGGAAAATTGAATAAAATAAAGTAGAATACAATAACATTATAAATTCCAAAACTCAGAAATAAAATTTTAATCTCCAAAATATGAAAAACATATATTTTATCAAGGAAACTACCGAATATATATATATAAAATGTCTCTCCAAAGTAGTTCTTCATTCACAAAAATGGCGAAACTTCTCTTTCATAAAATGGCGAAATTTATCGACAGCAGTTCCCTGTTTTATTAAGGAACTACCATAACCACGACTATTATAATACGATTTAGGATATTAAATATCAAAATGTCACGGTTATAAATTATTTGTCAATCTACTATGGCTAAATTCTTGTATTAGGTTTAGTCATGAGTCGAGTGGACTAGTTTCGCTACGTGATAGACACAACTGGACTAGCTAGTTCATGTTTGGTGTCTTGGTGATAGACACGTTTTGCTACGTGATAGACACAATTGGACTAGTTCATGAGTCGAGTGGTATAAGTCCAGCTGAGCTGATAATAGACCTCATCATGTTTTGTCACGTGACAAAATCATGGTCGTCTGTCCCCGTCATTATATATAGGGAAAAGTGTTTATCTTTTTAAATGACACATCTTATATCCTTTCACTCTCACAAAGAGGTGGGATCCACACCTTTATTTTTTTGTCAACTATCTCTTCTCCTTTATTTATCTCTTTCTCTCTCTTAAAATGACACAATTTTACATCATTTAAAATGATACACACTTTACCCTTATATATAAGGGTGTGCTTGGTGATCCAATTTTTTTTCCTTGAACTGAACCGAATCGAACTGTTTATTTAATTCGAACTGATTTTATTTTTCTTAAACTGGTTTAGAACCCGTTCATAACCAATTCAGAAACAATTCAAAATTAGTTCATATTTTAAAAACAATTTATGATTCATAATCGGTTTAGAACTAGTCTGGGCATGCAAAACAGTTCTAAATTGGTTTTGAACCGATTTTTCAAACCAGTGGTTTATAAAATCAGTTCATTTCTCAAAACTGGTTCAGAAAAATACAATTTGATTTGGTTCTATTCAGTTTGGTTCGATTATTTTGCACAACCCTACATATATATGCACTCATTCCTTCACAATTTTCCCCTTATTCTCTTATTACTACAAAATCATCCTCCTCTACAAGTCTTCCTTCTAGGATTCTCTCTCAAGCTCTATACCAAGTAACACTACAAGAATAAATGTATTTCGTGGCGGTTAGATTGTATTTCTGCGTCGGTTCAAACCGCCTCCAAAATCGTTGGGTAGCGGTTATACAACCGTCGTGAAAATAAGCGTCGGCAGGATATCCACGACGGTTGGAATCAACCGCTGGAATAACCGCAGAGAGGTATACAACGACGGTTTGAAAGGCGGGTATGACCGCTACATACCTCTGATCAAGTTTCTCTGCAAGACGTATTTCGCGACGGTTGCAAACCGCCTCTAATTTAAAATTATTATTTTTAAAATAAATTTTAATTATTAAAATTTTGAAAATCCAAATTATTTTAATTTGAATAATAGTGATTTATTATTATTTTATTTAAATATTATTTCAAAAAAATTCTAAATTTTAGAAAATTTAAAATTTTTTAATTTGAATAATAGCGATTTATTAATATATTTATTATTTTAATTAAATATTAGTAATTTGAAATAAATTTTTATATATTAAAATGTGGAAAATTCAATTATTTTAATTTGAATAATAGTGATTTATTATAATCTTATTATTATATTTATTATTTTACTAAAATATTATTTCAAAAAATATAGTAATTTTACAAAATATTAAATAAACTTTTATATATTAAATATTTCGAAAATTGTAATTATATTAATGTAAATAATATTGATTTATTATTATTTTTATAATTTTTCTGGTAAATATTATTTTATTAATTTTATTTTTGAAATTAATTTAATGAAGAATAGTTGATTTTCGACATATATAATATTAGTATCATACTGAATTTATTCAAATATTATTTTATTACTTTTATTTTTGAAATTAATTTAATGAAGAATAGTTGATTTTTTACATATATACTATTAATATCATACTGAATTTATTCACATATATCTTAGTGTTATTGTTAGCAATTAACATCAATTTATGTCATCCAAATATAATTAATTAAAATTGTTAACAAAAAAGGATCTTTTATAAAAATGTCAAAATATCATCCCAAAGTACTGTAACCTAAACCAAAGTAAAGATCACAAAAAGTCTTATAGAATGTCATCCAAAAAAATTGTAATCTAAACTAAAAGTAAAGATCACAGTATATAATCCAAAAGTATTTTAATCTAAACTGATAGTAAAGATCACAAAAAAGTCCAACAAAACATCATCCTAAAGTCTAGAAAACATCCAGAATTCAAATGTCATCCATGAAAAGGTCATCATCAAGTGGAGTTACTAATCCTTCATTTTGTCCATGTGTGGATGGTCTGTGAATATTTGGGTCATAGCTGGCTGATGAAGACCTTCTATTACCGATGGGGGATTCCAAATTTGGAGTCTACAAATGACAAATAAAGACAACATTTTAGTGAAAAAAAACCAAGGCTTTACACAATAGAATTATAGGTTTCACAATAGAATAAGGTATCACTCTTTTTGTGATACCAAAGATACTAGTCAAACAATCAAATTAGGCTTTACTACAACTACAAGTTAGATATAAGACAGTGAGTTATATAACTTAATATAACTATCATTGGGTTATAAAATATTAAATACCTGATGAGGTTCATTAGGTGCAAGATTAGACGGCATTTGGCCTCCAAAGCTTCGAACCAAGTTTGCAACTGTTTCCTTTAGTGATTCAATTTCAGATTTCAACTCCTTAATTTCATTTGGTGAGGCTGTTGAGCTAGAACCAACAAAACTGGAACCAAGAACTTGGGAAGGACAGACACCAAATCCCATTCCCCGTACACGTCCTGGATGCTCTTTCCCGAAAACATGGACATAAGCTTCTTCCGCAGTCCTTCCATCATTTTGAGCAGCTAATAATTGTTCCTACAAATATTTGCATAGCTCATTCAATTACATACTAACATATCATGAATAATAATCCAAGTAAAAAAGGTGTTTAGACTTACATTTTTGTGTCTAGCCTCTTCATTGACAAGTGTACCATCCTTCTTTTTGTGTGATTCAGCGTACATTTGTGCTCTAGTGATAGGGTGACCCAATTGAATTTCCTAAAAATGATTACAAGAAAAGTAGCAAATGTCATATGAAGACAAAAAGAATGATGACATAATACACATGAATTATAATAAATTAGAATTGTACCATTTCTCTTCTTCTTCTAGCAATTGATTTCGTTCCTAAAGTATGTGGGATTGATTGTTTACCCCTATTTGCAATATTCTTTTCAGCAATTTTCTGTAGTATGCCAAAAAAAAATTAGTAATGAGTTTTATATTTTCATTTTTATTATCATTAACATATGAAGTTACCTTTGTTTCGTCATCCATTTTGTATTGCAAAAAAGAAGCCCACTGTTCTCTTGGAATACCATTTGGGCAACGCTCAACACCTTGTTCAAAGGTCAAGCCACTCCTTTGAAACATGCCCCACAACCTTGCTCGGTTATCTTTCCATTTCTTTCCAACATCCATCATGATCCATTTTTCATGCTCATTAATGCTGACATCAAACTTACCCTAAAAAAATGAATACATAAGTAGTCAAAAAATAAACAACAAAGTTTGAGGAAGTTAGGAGTTAGAAAAAAAGATTAATACTTTGAAGATTCCCCAAACCAGAGTCTTGTGATAATCTGGAACCGTAGGCCATTTTTTATAATTGATTGGCAAAGTTTTACAATCAGCTGCAACTGCACCTGAAAAATAACCATACAGACCACCAGAATTTCCAATTGGTTGGCCTCTGTTATTCCACTCCAGCATAATTCTATGGTTGTCAGGAAGCACAAATACATCTTGAACTCGCACTCGCCTCTCCCGCGTTACTCCTTGATCATCTAAGCATTGAAGAGAATTGATAAATTAGAAATCAAAATAAAAAAATATCAATTAATAAATTAATGGGATAATAAATTAAGAGGTAAGATACAAACCTATGACATTCACAATCCAGTAGGTTGGGTTTTTTTTCTTAGAAGCTGACGGTTGGGATTCACTGGCAGGTTCTTGTGGTTGGGATGGTACGGTAGCTTGCACCGAAGGACTTGGTGGTTGCAAATTCCCAACATCCTCACCAAGAGAATGGTGTAATCCGTTGCCTAAATTGGATGGACCTGAGGTCAAAATAGGAGCACTATGTGCTGCTCCACTTACAGTATTAGTCCCTGCAGAAACACTAGGGACATTTCTTGGTGTAGATAGAGGCCTCATACTAAATCGTGGTTTCCGAGGCATTCCTATAAATCCAAATACTCAAGAACAATAAGTAAAAGTAGTAAAAATGGATAATCAATTAAATCACAAAATGAATTCATAAAACATTGTTGACAACTTATAGAAAGAGAGCGATTGATTTAGCAAATTTATAGAATTTAGCAATTGATTTATAGAATACTTTAGAATGAATTTTATTTTCTAGAGTATTCTAGAACACGATGAACTATATTTTTTTAATATTGACTAATATTTAAAAGAATGGTGTTATTCTGTTACGAAAGAAAATGACAAAGAAGAAATAATTCCAATGTAAAGAGCATATCTGCAAATAATCTCCATATATAACATTATAGTATAAAAACAGTAATGCATTTCTATTGGAAAAAATTAATGCAAAGAATGGTGGAGACAGATATGATGAAAGTAGAAAACAATACAAAAAAAAACATGTGAGAGAAACTTGCCTTAATGTAGAAAGTACCCAAGCGTATTAGAGTTTCACGAAACTGCAAACAATTGTATTGAAATCAGTGTTCATTATTACAGCTCATTACATGTCAACCAATAATAATACATGGAAAATACTCAGTGTGTCAAATTAATATGACCTTATAGCCTAATTAAAACCTATAATGGCGTACATGCATATGACACGTCCTTTCTTGCACATGCATATGACCTTATAGCCTATATATTCATCTTATTTCCAACAACCCTGCTAAAATGTGTGCCTAAAGACATAACAATTATGCTGATTCTGCTTGCCTTAAGAAACTAGACTTCAAAGATAAACCATAGTCATCAATGTGTGCCTATAAATCAAAACAAAGTTTGCTTTGTTATGATTTGTCATATCATTATAAAAGAAAACAATCAATGTTGACAACAACAAAAATAACGCGAGATTCCTCTAGGATGATTAACCAAAAGTCCTCGAGAAGCAGTCTTGATGAAAAGGTTTTAAAAGCAACTATGTAAAAGCTGTAGAATGTGTACTCTTGATAAGTTCATCACTATAATCAGCTTTAAATGTAGTTTCAAGAAAGAAAATATTGAAACGAAAAAACAAAAACAAAAAAACAAAAACGAAAAAACAAAGTAACCTCAAAATAAATCATTCCTGTAACAGCTTCAATATTTCTCCTTCTATCTACTATTTCATTTCTTCGAATCCTAAAACCCCAAACCTGCCTCCACCACAGTTACTTCCTCTACCACAAAACGAAAAACAAAATAACCTATACACTTGCCTGCTAAGAAAGGTAGAGACTATGGCGATTCTTAACCTATACACCACAGTTAAAAACAGCTTAAAAATAAAAAATAAAAACTTTTTCCTCTCTTTTAATTAATCACAAGAGCATAATGCGCATACACATTTCACGCACACGGAATAAGAACATGACAAAACCAATTTCATCATTTTGAAACTAATAAAAAGATTCAATTTTTTTATAAAATTAAAAAAAAAAAGACCTATACACTTGCCTGCTAAGAAAGGTAGAGACTATGGCGATTCTTGTAAGAAGCTTGCTCTAGTTGAGAGCCCCCCACCTGTTATGAGATGAGCAGCGAATTAGATTGTAGATTACAGATGAAAAAACCAAAAACCCTAGAGAAAGAGAGTGAGAGAGAAACAGAGAGAAATCGACAAGAAAGAGAGAGAGAGAGAGAGAGCCAAACAAGGTTGTGCACTGTAGTGTTTTGGCAAATAAAGAACAGGATGCAAACACGTTAGAGAGATGTTTATGCACTGTATTTTGGCAAACAGAGCGACGGAGGTTTTGTGAAAAAAGATAACTAAGGGGGAGGTTAAGTGAAAAGGTTTGGTGAAAAAAAGTAACGGGAGGGAGCGGGTAAATGAAAAGGTCGGAGGGAATTGGGAGCGGGTAAAGAAAAATAGAATCAACTGTGTTTTATTTTATTCATTTAAAAATCATTTTTAGTGCATTTTAATTATAATGACTTTATTAAAATTACTTTTTATCCCTTTTATAGTATTTATTTCAAACAAAGAATAGGTTTTATTTTTTAAAAGAAAGAATTTTAAAGTTTTTCTAAGGAAAATAATTCATTTGTATTTTATATTTACATATGAAATACCAATTATTATTAGTTAAGAAAAAAAAACATCAAAAGATATATAATTCAAATATATTATATTTAAATAAAAAATATATTTTGAAAATATTTTGTTAAATTTAATGTATTAATCACAATTAATGTACCAACCACAATTAATGTACCAATCAAAATTGATTGTAATTGGTGCATTAATTATGATCAAAATTGATTGTGATTGATACATTAGCCGGCAATATCAACTCAGGTTTTTTCACCTTTTTGCCCATCATTAATTATTTAATAACCATTTTGCCCCTTATTGTAAAATATCTAATAAGGGGCAAAAGAGTGAAAAAGCCACCAACCTCATCCATATATTTGTCTTTTTTTGCTGAACAAAGAATTTGATAATTATGGGAAATATTTGAGCCACTAATTAATGTATGCTCTTTTCTAATACGTGTATTGAAATTTTATAATTGATTAATGTACTAATCACCAATCACAATTTGTGTACCAATGGGATTAACTTTTGGTTGTTTCAATCACAATTAATGTACCAATGAGCAATCACTGCGGAAGATCATAACTTTTGATTTGGATATCCAAAACAGATAATTTTTTATTTTATTTCACTTAAATTTCCAAAATCTACGCAATGACACCTCATTTGGCATATTTTATCCCTCACAATTTTTTTTGAATTTATAAGAATGGTATCACAAACAATTAATGTACCAATCATCAATCACAATTAATGTACTATTGAAAAAATCAATTGGTGATTGTTACATTAATTATGATTGGTACATTAATTAAATAGCCCTTTTCCTCTGTTTTCTTTTTTTGATTGTGACATTAATTCTGATCGGGCAACATGATTGTGCCACATAGCGCACCCAGTTCTCTATCCTGATAGCAAACTCAGTCCAGTCGTAGCAAAGTTCAATGCGTGGCGGTAAATTTTACTATTTGTGTGGTAGTTTGGTATATAAATGCCAAAAACATGGCACATTAGTCAATGTTCCATGAATTAAGTTTTCATCATTCCAATTGATAGCCCATATATTAGGGCAAGTATAGCACTTATGTAACCATCATTTAAAAAAATGGATATTTAAATTTGATTATGAATCAATTCAAATAGATATAAAAAAATTATATTTATATAGATTAGTAAAAATCAAAAATTAGATGCTAAAAAAATGACGATTTTGTTGATTCATTTTTGATCGAATGGATATATATTATTGAATTAGGACCAATGCTTGAGAATATAATTAATAATGTGTGTGCATTTATATAGGTATCCAATTTTGTTCATATATCATAATCATATATCTTACGATAAATAACAGAAAATATAATAGATTTCCGAATTTTAAATAGCCGATACATACATATCCTAACTATACTGATTAGAATTTAAACAAAAGTGTGTGATATATATTATTAATAATAGCCTATCACAAAGAATTTAATGGCACAGTGGTTGTTGTTATTTAATTCTTACAATGTATACCGTGTTCAAATCCCGTTATCCACAATTATGTTTAAATATTTTTCACATTTCCCCAAACCGTCGCAGAATGCCATAAACGGTCGTGAATCTCTTTATTCCACGTCAGTTTCAAAATGTCGTGAAATTAAGTATTCTGCGTCGGTTCAAACCGACCTTGAAATATATATTTAGAGGCGGTTACCAACCGCCTCAGAATAACCGTCGTAGAATTATAATATTCAACTACGGTGGAGTCAAACGTCATCATAACCGTCGTCATATTGTATTCTGCGACGGTTTGCCCCTAACCGTCGTGAAACGTCGGTCGCGAAAAACACATTTTCTTGTAGTGTAAGTTTGTAATCCTTCGCTGCTTAATTTTATAGTGTAGCATATTTTGTACGTTGTGTAGCGTAGCATATTAATTTAACTAATTAGGTTATGTGTAGTGTTAAATATTAAAATAATAATTCATTAGTGTAAAAATGAATATTATAATGTAAATAATACATAATTAATTTTAAAATTAAATATTATTATAATTAATTGGTTTGCAAATTAATTTGTGTAGGTTATGTGTCTAGTGTAATTAATTATAGTAATGTATTAATTAATTATTATATGCAATTACTATTGTAGTGTAAATAAATAAATAATAATTATTGTATGAATTAATTTAATCTGTATTTTACTTGTTAATTTTGTTGGGCTTCCTCCTTCAATGCTAAGCTCAAGCCCATTTGAGGGGTTTTCTAAACCCTAACCCTAATTTTCACCTCCTCTATATATACTCATTAGTTGTGGGTGGAGGCTAGGTCAGATTTTGAGAAAACAAATTTGAGAAAATAATTATTTGATTGTTTGAGTAAAGCTTTATGCTTTGCATTTAAGATATCTCTAGAGAGAGTTTGAGTGAAACATCTCTAGGGTAGTTTGATTATCACCATTGTTGGAAAGGTTGAGTTAACCACCACATTGGTGTATTTGATTCTTTGTAACCGTTATTTTCATAGTGGATTTTTGATCTGGACTAGGTCCCGTGGTTTTTTACTTCTTCATTGGAGAAGGTTTTCCCACGTTAAATCTGGTTGTGTTCTCCTACTCTCTCTCTCCTGTTTTTTGTTTTTGATTTTTCCGTTGCGCTGCCCGACCTGTTGAAGTTCAGGCCGAGGTATTGCCGAGATCCGAGATCAGGATCTTGTTGATTGACTTCCGCACAAAGGTTGCTTAGCCGAGGTTGAGGGAACCGAGTTTTTCCCAATAGTGGTATCAGAGCCCGAGTTCGACGGGTTCTGATGGAGACGAGATGGAGACCAGTGACATAACTCATGATGGAGATATGTTCAAGTTGACCGCAGACAACTTCACTTATTGGAGACCGATGATGGAAGATCATCTCTACTGCAAAGATCTACATGAGCCTATTATCCTTGATGAGAGACCGACAGGCAAA